CCCCGCCCACAAGACGGGGGGGGAGAGGGCACGGGCGCGTGTGTCTGAGGGAAACCCCAGACCGCCTCTCCCACCGCAAAGCCCTGGGCGCGACCCCGTGGATTCTCCCCTCCCCCCTCGGCCGTTGCTGGCGGACACCGCCCACTGGTGTGCGGGAAGGACGAAGGGAAACAGCCCCCGGGTTCCCCGGGGGCCCCCCCCCCCCCCCAGCCAGTGTCGTTACGCTCATGAGACTCACTTCCGGTCTCGGGGCCCTCGTTGCAGTTAAGCTGGCTACTGCTTCCGGGTCACGGAGAGGCCGGGACGGGCCACGCTCCTCTCCCCGCCCCTCCGGGCGCCGGGTAAGTGCCGGCAGCGGATGTGCTGCCCGCGCTCTCTGTGGGCGCAGGGGGGCCCCCCCCCCCCCCCAGCCAGTGTCGTTACGCTCATGAGACTCACTTCCGGTCTCGGGGCCCTCGTTGCAGTTAAGCTGGCTACTGCTTCCGGGTCACGGAGAGGCCGGGACGGGCCACGCTCCTCTCCCCGCCCCTCCGGGCGCCGGGTAAGTGCCGGCAGCGGATGTGCTGCCCGCGCTCTCTGTGGGCGCAGGGCCGGTCCTGGGGTGGGGCAGGGGGCTCGTCCTAGGCCCGCGCACTGGCTCCCGGCCTTCTCCCCCCTCCCCCAACCAAATTGCTATCGGCACGCGCTGTCCTGGCTCCCGCTCGCGCCCCTCTTCCCCCCCGCCCGCCGGGCGCTGTCGTCACCAACCGCCTCCCCCGGCGTTCGAAAGGGGCGGGGCGGAGTTGGCCGTTGGGGGCCCTTGCAGGTGGCAGCAGGAAGCTGCGGGGTTCACGCACCTGTTGCCTGCGCCACCCTTCAGCCTGTGCCTTCCTGCCCCCTCCAGGTGACACCTGTCTGGCCCGGAGGCTCTAGGTTTGACACTGCTGGTTTAGCTCATAAGCATAGTGGGGCTTTGACATTTTAATCCTCCTGCCTTATTCCCTTCCCCTTCCTAGGACTGCCTCAGTGGAGATTAGACAGATGCTGCGTAACTAGGGTGGCCATCATAGTGGACATTCCAGATTTCTGCTACTCTGTCCTCTATTAATACGAAACCCAGTGCCTTTATGTCCTCTATTTTTCTTGTCAAGAGAAAAACTAGAGGACGTAAAGGCGTCTGGTTTCATATCAGTAGAGGACAACGGACTGTTCTCTGTGATGACCACCCTATGCGTAACAGCTACGTTCGTCCAGCACCTTTTGTGCAAGAAATCAAAGGACTTTTTCTGAAGGAAGCAAACATTCCCCTCCTGTTATGCTGGAGAGCGTGAAGGCCCCTGCTGCACGTCACATGTATTCCACGATTCACTGGTGAATCTCACCATAAATTTAGACAAGCCACACGTGCAAAGTAACAGTTGGTCCATTCTCTGGTGAATCTTGCCGTAACTTTAGACTGGCCATGCATGCAGTGTAATCCTCATTGCACAATAAAGAGGTCTATCCAACTTTAAAAAAGAGCGGAGCAGCTGTAAAGTTAGTGTTTGAAAAGGTGTAGCAACTCTAGCTGATTTCAATCCAGTTTTCCTTTGAACGTTGTAGCAAGGCACCTGGGTTCAGAATCTGGCTGAACTTGCATCATGCATCTAATAGACTAACCACTAAAATTAATTATTTTCCCTTGATCTATTAACATCTTAGTGACCTGTGCCAGGCTTGTTGTGAATTGGAAGCTTAAGTAAAACTCATTTAAAATAATTTGTGTTCTTGATAGTTATTTAACAAATTTCTAGTGTGAACATCTTGTTAGTTTAGTGTAATACACAGTACCTTGAGAATAGACACGGTATGAGTTTTGTGTCATTTTCAGCATGTCTGGCCAGTGCAGATGCAGAGCACCAGTCCTTTCTGTTTTAGTCATAAAACTTAGGTAGGTCAGATCATCCCCTTCATTTTTTTTCTGCCAATCTAGGCTTGCTACTTACAGCATGTTTCCTTGTATTATGCATAGCTGTTATAGACAACATGA